AGCCTTTGGATACCACCACCTCCGCGATTTTCCTCGTCTCCCCGCGCTCCCTTTTGTCTGAGGCGGGAACTGCCCCGTAATTATTGCTCTTTTTTTTTTCACTTAGAAGTACACACCACTTATGAAAACGTTCTGAACTCACCCCCAATTTCGTGGGTTAGCGAAAGAAAACACAATAAACGTTATTTTTTTATTTTCGGTTCACTCGCCGAGACCTAGATTCGCTAGTGGTTAGTTCTTTATACATTAGAGCCGATTTTGGCATTTGTTCTGTTTCGTAGTGAATTCAGCTTTGCGCAGCGCGAGCTTTACAGCTCGCTAGCGAAGATCGGCTGTATATATATACACCGTTTTGCAATTTCCAGGCCGTATCGGCGTGCAGCAGCGGGGTATACCGTGTTTTCAGCGCGGCGTTCCGTGCGCCAAAGTGAGGCAACAGCTGCTACCGTATTACCTGCTGCATCGGGGGGTACGCCCCACCCCACCCCGCCCCGCCCCGCCCCGCCACACCACGTGTGCGTCGAGGGGCCCCCGCCCTGATTTATAACTGCCAGGGCCGGAACTACAGCCAAATCGGTCGTGGGATTTAATCAACTGGTGCGATATTTCAGAGGCAGTATGCGTGATCGTCAAAAAAAAAAACAACTTCAAACAAGACTCGATAATTAAGTGATTGACAGCAGTGAGTGTCTGCTGAAATGAGAGTCAAATTTGTTAATTATAAAAACATTTGATTGTGTCAACAATTGACATAACAACAGTGTTTCAAGTTTTTGTTTTAAAACCATGAACGGCTCAATAATTAGTGCGTTTGGTCGCAAGTGAAGTGGAAGAGCCTCGCCGCCACCTCCACGAGTATCACAAACGAAGGCGCGAAATAGTCTGCACGGAAATTAAATGGCAACTATATGGCTGCATGATGGGTGGTGGATGGCGGTGGGTGGTGGTTGTGGGAGGGTGGAGGAGGGAGGGTGGTGCAGGAGGAATACCCCGAGGTCGACTCGAGCAGAGCAGCAGGCGTGTTTAGCTATTAATTAGAGACTTGCCGTCTAGAATTACTGGCCCAGCGACAAAGAGGATCTCCCCAGATAAATGAGGGGTAGAGGGGGGCTGTTGGGGACAGATGCTAGCAAGTGCGCGGGTCTGATTTACGTGAACGGATACGTTTAGTAGTGGGGCGAGGTAGAGATGGCGAGGCGGTGGTGGTTAGGGGGATATGCGGTGTACTAAGAGTGATAATTTGAACGCGTTCGATTTCTTTAACTTCAGTTATTTGTGCAAACATGCGTTCGGCTACGTCAATTTCTTCTGTATACAGTTTATTTATCGACGGACAGGGGATTCACAGTCACTCCGGCAAGATTACAAAACGAACAATCAGCGGATTGTCTCACAGGCGTGGGGGTAGTGCAGACGTCGAGGCGCGAGTTGTTTATTCATCGGACCTCGCGTGTGATGATTAATTATTGTATATTAATTATCAAGTTGATGTTTATTGGCAGGAGATTGGTTTTCCAACTTGGCCGTCGACGCATATAGGGGGAAGGGAGAGTGCGGTCCCAATGGATGGGAAAGGGAAGGGAGGATGGAGTGTGGAGGTAGGATGAAAGGGAAGAAGGGAGGGGGGTACATCAGATAGGGTGAAGCTTATAGTTTAAGCCGTACGGGAAAGGGATAAATGAGAGAGAGAGGGGGAGAGTGAGAGAGGGAGAGAGAGATGGGGAAAGCGAGCGAGCGGGAAGGGTAGAGACAGAGGCAGGGAGGCCATCCGTTAGCGTATGCAAACTGGGGACGCCTCTGTGCGTCTCTATCTTTGCTCGATAGGGAGCCTGCAGCTCGCCGGCCGGGCGGCCAAACTCCTCGCCTCTGTCCATGATTATATCCATGCGGCTTCGCCAGAAATTCCACTCAATTTGCATTTTTATTTTTGCCCTGTGCGTCTATTTCTCTCCGTCTCCCCCCTATCTCTCTCTCTCTTTCTCTCTCTCTTCTCTCTCTCTCTCTCTCTCTCTCTCTCTCTCTCTCTCTCTCCATGTTTCGGGACGCGGCAGGCGCCTTGACGGGTGTTTCCCTCCGTAATGGACATGTCTCTCAGCGCGGGCGGA